AAGGGTACTTGCCCAATTTCCTCTAAGATGACACAAAGTGAAGCCAGGATTTGAATTTTATGTTAGTATGTTTATCTCCAAAATCCATGCTTTCTTTATTAATGCAGTCAACTAATGTGAGAAGTATGGCGTTAGCCAAAAGCAGAAGCAGATGAGTGTGTAGCAATATTCTTCCATCTCATACTCTCCATGTTACCCTATTGAACCTTACTGGGTCACAATGAGGCAATTTCATTACTCTTAACTCTAATTCAAAGTCTGAGAGTAAGAAACAACATCCTGTTGAAAAGACTTTCCTGGAGTCCACGAGTCCAGTATCCAATCCTAAACCATGTCTTTGGGATATCTATCTATCTATCTATCTATCTATCTATATATCTATACATAGATATAGGTATAGATAGATATTAGCTAAGATGGACAGAATTCCTTGCATGAGGGAGCTAAGAACTAAAATGCTCTACTCATATTGTCTTACATAACTTTTAACACAATTCTGTGAAGTAGATATTATTGCCATTTTTGAAAAGAAAACCAAAGCTAAGACATACTTAGAACTTGTTCAAGGTTATATGGGAGAATCTGGTTTTCAACACAGGCCCATCTAAATCCAGTCATTACTCTTCCATGTAGCTGTCTTCACCCTCACCTGAGATGGTGGAACAGAATTTGAGCTATGTGTTAGTTGGTGAAGAGCAATAATAGCCACCTTCAACTCTATAAAGGGATGAAGAGAAGCATTCTATGAGGAGAAACATTCTGCATTCAGAGGGGAGAATTTGAATTTAGAAGTCTCCAGGAAGTAGCTTCTCATCTCAATAGATGAGTGTTTCAGTGGTGGCAGTCACTGGATGGACTCTTGCTAGCAGATGATTGTCATGTTCAGAAGTGTTCCAGCGTGATCTGGAAAGGCTGCTTTTACAACAGGGAGGAGGTCTGAATGGAGAACTTCCAAATTCACTTGTGACTTTTAGATTCCATGAGTTCATGAATCTTCTTAGCAGAAATTGGTCAGTGCCGCCAGAAGAAGTGATGAAGTGTCTGTATAAGGGTCACGTGTAGGCATCAAAGCAAAACTTGTATGGCTGAAGCAAGTAAACTGTTCCCTGGGAAACCTATGCTTAGAAAATGAAGTGGATTCTGTGGCAAATGGTTAGGCTTTAGCTCTTCTGTTCTATTAAGAAGAAACCAAAGTCTTGATAAGAAGGAAAATGTAACAGGGGGCTACTATTTATGAATTAAGGTAGCAGAGTGATTTAAAGAGTGGTCTCACCTGCTAAATGTGTAAAGAGTGATAGAATTACCATTCCTTCTAGACTAAGGTGCAACCCATCTAAGAACACAGTGGGAAACATAAAGGGAATGAACTGCACAACACAGACATCTGAGTTACCTTTATAAACAATCTAAAAATCCAAGAGAAGGTGGCACTAGAGGTAAGACAGGGGAGCTGAAGACATAGTAAGCCTAGTCAGTATGCACTGGGGACACCTTCAGGTCTTAAGAATGTGGAATAAGCACAAGGAATCTAGAGGTCCAGGTATACAAGGTCATTGTGTAAGAGGTCAGCAACTTATCATCAGGAAAGGAGCATACTAAGGTGAGGAATGAACAGGTATAGGGAGAGGACAGGAGAAAGGAAGAATCCCAGTACTGACACTGGTGGCCATTTGTCTCCTCTTGCCCATGTACTCTCAGTCCTCCTAGCAGCATGTTAGCTAGACATTATTTCCTTCACTTTTTTTTCTTTTCAAAGTTTTATTGATAAACATATAGCAATGAGACAGTTTCAAATCAAATCGAAAGTACAGTTTCAACAAATAATACACTGCATATATTCTTCTTAGTGGTTAATTGCTGTATTTCCTTCACTTTGGAGATGAAGAATTGATGTTAAGAAAGATGGACCAGGTACTAGAGTTGAGAAGTGAACTCTAATGCATTTATTGTCTAACATGAGTTCATTCCTGTTCTTGATGACAATGTATGGCAATGACCTCCATGAAATGCTGGATCTTTGGATTGGCCACCTATACTGGCTGACCAGACAGTACGCCCATTTGTAGTTTTATATCTATCCACTGTGTGGTATTAGAGTTGATGTTTATGAATGACACAGAACATGGGAAGGCTACTGATGTGATCACATGCTAAGGTCACAGGTATGTAAGCTATATACTTAGGTCCTTCAAAAGAGGCCAATTGAGCTTCACTACAACCCTTTCTGTAGTGCCATATGGAGGATTTTCTGTTTTTCCAGAAATTTCTATAACATGGGTTTTTATTTCTTAATTATTACAATAAATCCTAATTTAGAAATGATATGAGAAACCAATAAGAAAATAAGTCACCAACAGCACACCTCCCTCAGCTAAAAAACCAAGACAAACTCCATCTATCAGTTTCATTTGCTAGCAGAGAACTTGCGCCCAGTGCATCTGAAGACAGTGGCCACACCTCATGGATTCATTTCTGCCAGGCCAGTACTGACCATCCCACCCTCCACAACTCACTGGCCTGTTACAGGCATCAAAGGAATCTCAGTGTGAAAGTGAAAGGAAGATCACTGGAGTCTAGACAGCAAGTCACTGCAACAAGTCCAACTAAACAGCATTAAGGGAGCAGCACCATAGCTCTATGGTTTTAGGGTAGATCCCAGTTACCGGAGAAAATTATTCTCAATTTCAAGTACCCTCAAGGACTTTTGTACCATCCACATAATGCTGTTCACGTAGGGAAAGCTCTTGTTCCTTTTCTAATGCAGATCTTGTAATGACAGCTGACAAGCTGGCATTTTTTTCAAAGTAATATTGTGTTCAGATGATCATTGTCAATCTTATCCCAGACCTACTAAATCAGGTTCGCTAAGCCAAAGTACAGGAATCTGTATTTCAAGCGCTTCAACACATTAACATAAAATTTGAGAAAAACTCCATCACACGAAATGATTTTGTGTTGTGTTGTGTGTGCAACAAATGCTTTAAATGGTGCTATTACTCCCAATTCCCCAAAATGGCCTCAATTAATGAGACAATTACCACTGACTACTTAGGTAAGGTCACTCATTAACATACCCTGAGATTACACGGCTAGATTCTTGTTTTCTACTCATTTTCAGGGAGGAAATAAAGGATAGCATTTGAACCTAAGTTCTGATCCAGCCCCACTTCTGACAGCTCTAAGACCTCAGACATACTTAACCTTTTCTTATCTAGCTTTTTCTTTTGCATGGATATAAGGTTGATGGTCTTATATCAAAAGCAGTTATGGGAACATGGCAGGAACTCAAAGCCATCTCACTAAACTAGTAGGTGAGATCTTCTGCTGCCCATCAGATTTGGCTCTTATCAGAGTATTTGGATTTTGCATCTATTTCTGCTTCTACTCTACCTCGTGCACTAGGGATGATTAATATCGATATGTCTTTGTGATTTACAGAAAATTGTTCCTGATATTACCTGGGTTAGCCTCCACAACAATGCTGTTAGGGAAGTCAGAAGTCAGCTGAAACGTCTAGAAGTGCTCAAGTGAGGATTCAACCCAGATCCTAGTCATTCACAGGTCTGTCCTGTCCTTAGCACATGCACCATACATTACACAAAGCACATTCACATTTACCATGGCATTTTTATTGTAGGTATTTTCACAATTTCCCCCACTAACCTAAAAGCACCTACAAAGCAGGATCCATATTGAGTTAGTCTGAAAGGAATGCACAGAATCTCTGAGTGTTGTACTTTTACCATGCTTAGGAAGAAAAGAGAATGAGTTCTGGAATGATGCATAATTTTTCCTCAAATCTCTCATACATTCCAAACAACTCATGCCCAAGCTTCCTCATGCCATAAAAATGAACTTATCTTAATAACATGAATGTATTCAACACCTATTAAGTGTCAAAATCTTTACTTACCTATGAAGGAATTGACATACTTTAAACACTTAGAAAAATCCTGGTACATAATCTTTTATTACTATTTACCTATAGAGCACTCGAGGTAGGCATTATAGACACTGAGAAATTAAGTGATGGAACCAAAGCTTGTGCAGAGCTAGGAAAATATCATAAAGGAAATTCTCACTATAGTTCTTGTCACAAGGGTTTAGTTGACTGAAATAAAAGTTCTCAAAAGGGCAGTCAACTCCTTTACTATCCCAGTATCCCTGAGTTTTTGCTTACAGATCACTAATTAAAGGATAAACCCTAAGAAAAAATAGAGGCTAATATTTTCCAACCAATAACTAAAAATTATACAAAATGAGTAACAATTGCCAACAATTTGCTGAGTATTTTCCATATGCTATCTTTAATCTTTATAGTAACTCTGTAAGGTAGCTATTTTTTTTTATGGAACAGAAAACAGAAACTCAATTCAGAAAGATTAGGTTAAGCCCACAATGCACAGGGGAGCCAGGCATGTAATCTAGAAGTGTCTATCCCCAGCCCTTGCCCTTGCCATGCTTACTTCACAGACATTGCAGAAAGGAAAGTACAAATCAACAGGAAGACAGAATACAGTCTGCCAAAATGTGTGCCAGACACCTTAGAGACTCAGTAACTGAAGACAGGATGAGAGAAAAATTATGTAACTTGAAAGATCATTTGAGATAAAAGGTAGGATGAACAAACTGATACCAGGTGACATTGCCTCTACTTCCTGAACTCAGTCCTGCACCACACCCAGAGTCACCCCGCCCCCATGCACAGATGCCCTTTTCTTTACAGAGATTGGCTCAGATTACCAGAGAATGCAAATCTCAGCTCATACTGCACAGGTGATTGGTCTAAGATCTGTCCTTTGAAGTCAGAGAAAATAATCTGCCTTTGAGACAGCCTCTCAGAACTGTGGCCAGCAGTCACATCCCTTAGGAATTTTTTTCTCCTTCAGACTGAAGTTCTCTCCTCTGAAAGAAAGGACATTTCAGACTGTATATCACACTCGTCACCTCTACCGTACACTTAATATTCTAAATACATGAAGATAATGATTGTCTACATCAAGAATTAATGAAGTTTTATTATAGAACAAAATAGAGGAAGAGACAGAAGTTCTTTCATGGCAAAAATATAAAGTTCCAAGTTCTGATCAAGGGACAGGCAGCTCAGAGACGCTTTTTACCACCCCGAGAAGTGTTTCCCGTCCCCATAATGACTGGCACTGGTGGCCCCAGGCTGCTGTCTGAATTTTAGCAAATCCATGTGCCTTCTCTGGAGTAGGATGTCCAAGCTGGGAGTCATCCGTGACTCCAGCACCCGACCGGCCCCGGTCCGCACACTGTCATGCGCCGTGGGGAGGGGTCTGGTGGCACCGCTGCCTGCAAATTGCGTGCCGCGCAAGGAAAACACAAAGGCTTTATGAAAAATCCGAAGTTTATTGCAAATTGTATTTCGCTTCCCTTCGTTCTTCATTTTTACAAGATTTATTGATATCCATGATTTTTTCACAGATGTACTTGTTGACTTTGGAGAGTCTCTGTGCAATTTCAGTCTCATCCACAGTTTCTTGTGCTATTCTGTCATACAAACACTCTGGACATAGAGAAGAAACAAGGTCAGGGATTAATGGTGAGTTCGAAAACAAATCTTTTATGAGAAGGGATGCTCCTCCTCCCATACCTCACAAATACCAGTTCACATATCTTGTACACTATATTTCAAAATTTCTGCCCTAAAATGTACTTTAAAAGGACAGGTATACTCTATACATTTATACTTTAAAAATAATGCTCAAACACCCATCACCTGGTTTAACCAGATAGTTTTGGTCCCTCTGAAACCGCTAGCTGTGCCTCCCCTCTCCTCCCCTCCATTTCCTTCCTCTCCCCTCTCTTCTCCCTTCCTCCCCCCTCTCCTGTTGCCCCTCCCCTCTGCCCTTCCCTCCCTTGTGTTCCCTCCTCTCCCCTCTGCTTCCCTCACTTCTCTTTCCATTCTCTTCTCAATCAGATATACCTTCTGTCTTGAATTTTTCTTTTCTTTTAATAGTTAATAGATACTCATAAATAAGTACTAGCTTTTTCTCTTTTCAGCTTTTTTTTTTTATAAATGTGCCTATTTCTATAAATCTTCTGGCCTTCTTTTACTCAATGTTATAAGAGATTTGGCCATGTCTAAGTGTGAAGTTTTGGGTCATTTATTTTCACTGATAAGTAATGTTTTCTTGTATGACTGCACTGGATTCTGTTTACCCATTTTATTGTCCATGGATACTTGGTTTCATAATACCCTTGGTTACAAATATCCTTGCATATATCCTGTGTGCACATGCACAAAATTCTCCAGTATTATCCACTTCATGGAGATGCTGAACATTAGGGTGTGTGTATACTCAACTTTGCTAGAGGAGGCCTATTAAGTGGTTTTTCAAAGTGGTGGTTTGTAGTGGAACTCTGAATAGTAATGTACATACATACTGGCTGCCCTATGTCTTTAGGGTGTAGACAAATGGGTCTGTGTGAAATAGGGCCAGTGTGGTGATTACTAATGAGGCTGAGGATGGTTATCTTCTTGCATGGTTGTTGCATCATTTGCTGTGATGAGGCAGACTCAGTTGCAGACAAGGCTTGACTGTAGCCTCACTTTCTGTCAGCCCCCTACCCTGGAGACCTGGTGCAGAGCATTGCCTTGGACTGCTCACCTCAAAAATGAAGATATAAAACTATGGGGTGTCATTTTTATGGATTCGAGGAGGTATGTGCATAAATATTTTATAAACCATTATCACACTGTAAGCAATTGCTGCATCTGTGTGGCATTGTCATAATTGTTTTATGTATACACAACTGCTTATTCCAAGAGCCTATCACAATACCTAGCAAGTGGACAAGACTAAGTAAATATATGTTCAGTGAATGAATGAATGAATGAAGACTTCTAGGAAAATTTGACATAAAGTTCTGAACAGTAGAGGACTAGATGTGTGTGTGTGTGTGTGTGTGTGTGTGTGTGTGTGTGTGTGGTTTTGTGGTGTCATCATGAATAAACACTAATGTTTTTGAGTATGAGACCCTTCACCTATAAAACACAAATAACAATCAAATCTTAAGAAACTACTATGGAGAATAAGCAAAATCTTGTCTTTAATGAGCCAGCCCATGGCAGGCAGTATGGGACACAGAGGGAATAGGCAGACTCACTTGTGCTAATCCATCCATCCACTCTTCCATTTTGTTACTCTTGAGAAATCAGAGATCTGAGAGGGAGTCAGTGCAGGGCAGGATTCCTGCTACTCACCATACCTCGCCTTTCCTGAGCTCACAGCCAGCTGCCCATGATAACCACCAACACTGCTGGTGAATGTACAAGGGCCATCTTTGCCTGGACCTCCTGTTCCACCCCATTGTGAGAGGGTTTCACACAGACGTGCCTCTAAAGGTTTTGAATTGATCTCCACTGCTTCCTTCCCACCCATAATCCTCAGTTACTCTTATGCTTTTCATAGGTCAAAGAAACAAAAAGGTAGGGGACACTGCCTCTCCAGCGGCACTTCTGTTATACCACCTACAACTTTGCATTCCAAGCCAGCCCAACAATTGGTGTCCTTTCTCACCTCTGCCCAGAATATACTGCCTTCACTCCTCACCTGCCTAAGTCCTACTTTCTTTTAAATTCAGCCTTCTTGGACCTATCAGGCTACATTATGAGGCACAAGTCTACCTATACCCTTGTGTATTCATACCTACTTGACATTTGCTATGGAAGCATTGCTCATGAGCTCATCAAACTATAGCCACATCATCTAGCACCACCTAGGACATTTGATATTTCCTTGCCAATGCAAACACTCATGGTGACCTTCTTGGAACCTGCACCAGAGGAAGAAGATGAACTGTGATAAAATGTTCAGGTGCTCAATTGTGCCCTAACCCTAGACAGTGTGCAACTTTTAGGGGAAACACTTCTGGGACTCATGTTCATTATCCATGAAAATGGAATGTCATACTAGATTACCTAACAAGACTATTCTAGCTTCAACTCCCTAGTTATCTGAAAGGCAATAGGGGAAGAAGAAAAAAGCAGAAGGCTGGAGAGTAGGTATGCTGCCCTCATCCACCAGCAGGAGCTAGTGAAGAGGAAGAAATAGAAGGGTGCAAATGAGGAAGGTTTTCCAAGGGTCCCCCACAGAATTCCAATCATTTTCATTTCCTGAGGGTAACAGCTTTGAATGGGCCCTCAGGTTGATTAAAAAGCTTTTGTTAGACTCTAGTTATTAATCACCTGCAGTTGCTGGGAATGTCTCCCTCTGCGAGGGAGCATTTGAGATTATTGCTTAATTAACAAGGTTTATAACAGTGCTAATGTGTCCTATTAAAAAAGTTATAAAAATTAACCAGAATGCAACGTTGTGCCTCATTTAGAAAGCTCCGGTACTCTGCAAAAGGTCATTCTGGAGTTTGCCATTAGAGCGAGACTGCTTCAGCAATCCTGCTTTCATCTTGCTAAAGCAGGGTCCGTGTTTGCCCCATCCTTCTGCTACCCTGTAAGGAATGATTTTAACATCAAAGCAAAGAGGAAATCATCCTCAACCCTGTGAGCAAAAGGCTCTTGCCATTTTTTTCACAGCAAATGTGACTAACTGTGATAAAATCACACAAAATAAACACAATCTCCAGCCAGCCAGACAGCTTGCATGGCAATAACCAGCCAAATGAAATGTGGAATAAATAGCACAAATAATTATGCTAAAAATGATGACCATATGAAGAGATGGGACACAGTCTTTAAACCCATCATCCAACTTCCTGTGGTTAAAACAAGACACTCCTGGTGATGACACAAGGCCTGAAATGCCAGTCCAGCTTGGCTGTCTTTAATTAGTTTCATGCCCTTGAGCAAGTCACTGTTCTCATCCACATACCCGCAAGGAAGTGTTTATAGCTCTAGGGAGGGTAGACAAGGCTCCCAGGATGCAAGGAAGAAGTGGAGAGAACTGAGGTAGGTTCTGATGTGCTGGACACACAGAAGGGCACGTGCCAGGCTACAAGGTCAGAAGCAGTTTGCCAGGGAGGTTCCCTCAGGCAGATCTGGATAGCAAGCATCATTGCTGAGCACAACAAAATGACAGAGGACCAGTGTGACTCTTCCAGGCACCAGGAAGAGCACTTAGGAATTCCTTAAGGTGAAGAAGAATAAGGCTTTCTCATTTGAGTAATAACTTAAGAGTTCAAGGCCAGTATTTTTAAAAAATAAAGCTGAAGATATGGCTAGAAGCTGGACTAGGAATATACTTATATGATATATTGAGAAGGTGACCCTTAAATAATTAATACTGTGAATTAGCTGTGAAGAGGCAGTGGTGAAAGGATCATACCTGGATTCTGAAGGATCACTCTGACTCTGATTATCTAATAGGCAGAAATGTCTGGAAGTTGCTGGAATAGTTCAGGAAGAGCACATCTGGCCTGAATTATGGGCAGTAGGTATGAGAAGTAATGGAAGGTTTAGGAAGTATTTGGGGTAGGACAGATGGGGAAGGAGGCATGTGGGTGAGGCGGAGGTGAAGTCTGGGTCCCTGACTGTATTATGCACCAACACAGAAGGGGCATGAGACTAGGCAGGAGGAGGAGGAAGAAGAGGAGGGGAATGAGCAGAATGGTATAGTTCTGCAGATGTCATGTAGAATCCATGAAACCACTAGTGTGCACCTGTATATACGGCTCAGGAAGAAGTGTGAACTCACATCAAATACAGATCTGGGAGTCATTATTCATGGAAATATTTATACATATTTCTACAGTACTTAGTATATGCTAACCCTGCACAAGATGTGTGAGAGAAAGACTGCTTTCAAGTAAGTGATGCTATGCAGAGACATTAAGTAGGGTGGTGTGGCAGAGAGAAATAGTGGGCTACTTGAGATGAAGAAGCCGGGAAGACATCTGTGAATGACAAGGAACCAGGGCCCAAGATCGGGAGCGACAGCTCTGCAGGCAGGAGTCGAGCTAATGCATGGTGGAAAGTAGAAAATATTTTGTGGGATAAGATCAAAGTGGTCACCAGACAGCAAGGTGGCTGGGTAGGCATCATTGGGGAGGTGAGTGCAGATCTCGATCAGGGGCCAAACTACACTGAAGGTAAAGGGATCAATGAGGAATGAGGAGATCAGCCACAGAAAACCAGGTGGTGTGAGAAAGAAGAGGGTTTGAGCTCAGAGGAGAGGCCCAGGGAAAAAAGTCCACAGAAGAGGCTGAGTGCTGGAAAGGACAGAATCCTGAGCAGATGGCTTCCTTAGTCAGGGAGTGGTCAATGATAAACTCTGCTGGACAGCAGGCGGAAAATGAGTGCTGGACCTAATCTTAGATTCAGTAACATGGAAGTCACCAGGGATCTCCCAGGCCCCTCTGAAAGTAGGTCAGGTAGACATCTAGGAGTGGATGGCAAATGGGAGGGGCACTGCCAGTGAACACCATGAGTGGACATGTCTTACAAGAAGCCTGGACATGCAAAGGGAGACAGGCATAGCAGCTGCTGGGCAAGGAGAGCTTCTGAGAGTTTGGTTTGCTTCTGTTAGAAATGAATGATCAAAGCCCATGTGAACCATGTTGGAAAGGAACTAGGACAGCACAAGCGGAACTGGAGGGACGGGTATCTGGAAGGTGGGGGGACAGGCTGCAGAGCCCAGATAAAGAGAAGCAGCAGCCCTGAAAAGAGAAAGAAAGTTCTGACGTGAAGCAGAAGAATCAAGCTCGGGTACAGTTAAGCCTGTAGGTGTGGCTGTCCTAGCTGTGGAATTTTTTTACTTGTCTCTGTGAAGGAAGAGAAAGGACATCTTTTGAGAGACAGGTGTGGGCTAATGTGTCCGGAAAAATGAAGTGGAGGGCTTGGAAAATGGGAGTGTGGATCTGGGGGAGCCTCTGAGGACCTGGTGGTGTGTCTGTAACAATCACTCAACAGAACTGAGGTACAGCCTAGACTGCTTCTCTTCTTCAGTCTTTTTTTTTTTTTTTTTTTTTTTTTTTTTTTTTTTTTTTTTTTGTATATTTTAGGGAAGGGTCTACAGGGTGTTCGGAGTTTCACTACTAGATCAGACTCATACTGATCCACTTGTTTACAGCCTCCCAAGAGCTGGGATTACCTACTTCAGTCTTAAGAGGATATTTTCAGCAGATGAAACTGAACCATGGAGGTAAAGTGATTGATTTGGGAAAAGGAACAGTTGGTGCTTAATTTGCTTTGCCTCCTTTTTTCAATTCTTTGGCTTTTTCTCTTCCTAATCTCTCATATATTTCTTTCACTTTCTTCTTCCAATTTTGCATGCATATATCTGGTAATATAAATGACTAATTTGAAGATAATACTATGTAATATAACAAATACTGTGAAATCCATATTATTTTGCTTAGTGAAATTCTGTTTCATTTTTAATTTTTGTTTTAATACTATTTTGTAGTCTCTTTTAAAAATACAAGTTTTTCAAAAAAAAAAAAGTCACAGTAGAGTTTATTAGGGGTCAGCTTGTTGGTCTCAGTGTTTCTTTTGCTTAACCCTCATCTACTGAGGTCCAGACTCTGTGCTGAGCAATGAAGGTAACAAGAATCAGATGTGGTTCCTGAGGGGACAAGCAGCAGATGATGCTACATAGCAGTGTGATAAGGGTGGGGAAACCTGGAACCGGCCGAGCCACATTCCAACAGGTGCAGCAGAATCAGAGGTCTGGGCCTGTAGGCCAGGCAGGGCTGCTTCCCAGCAAGGCCTCTTTCTTCAGGAGTCCTCCCAAAGCTGGCTTTGCCATGACAGACAGCAGCCAAAATACAGGTTATCTCTGATTATCTAAAAGAAGTGGCTGCCCAAACCAATTAACCATGTGTTAGGTGGGGGAGTCAGCTGTGTTCTAGCAGAAATGCCACAGACCAGAGTCAGGAGTGTATAGGGTGCGAAGGGTTGAATCTAGATTCTGAAACCCAGTAGCTGTGGCCTTAGGCTGGTCACTTAATTTATCCTGTGTCCTGCCACCATGACTCTATAATGTGTCCTAAATCTGACCACTTTTCTCCACTTTGTCTTTTCTGTCCCCTTAGTCTGTAGTAGCATAGCCTGTCCTGGGGAACAGGGCTCCATCTTTCTAATTGTCGTCCCTGTGATCACTCCACCTGGAACTCTCCACTGGCCCTACAGTGAGCAAAGTAAACCCAAGAGGCTTACTGCGGCTTTCATAGCCCTACAAGCCTGGCTTTCATCCACCTCCCTGCCGCTTTCTCCTTGAGCTTCTCCAGCCTAGAGTGTGCTGGTTGTGCACCTGCTATGTATTCTGCCTGATTCACCCCTCCTCAGACCTTCGCAGGGCTGCCTCTTCCACATCCAGCTCCCAGCTTGAGTGTCATCTCCTCAAGGAGACCTTCTTTACCTGCCTCCTCTGACTGACACAGTCCTCTTTGTCCTACCACATGATGTAGTGAAACCCACAGTACCCCAAAACACGTGACTCTTTTGTAGAAATATCTGTTGCCTGCCCCTAGAACCTGCTCAAACAACAGTGTCTGCTCAAAACATTCACGCTGCCTTTCTGAGTCACAGACTCTTTGTTAAAACATGGTAGACTTGGATACTTGGAGAGCACAAACTGATGCCAGCCCTGCTGCCTTGGAATCCTGCTCTACTCCTGCTAGCAGTGTGACCTGGGCAAGTTGCTTAACACCCCTGTCACTTTCCTTGTCTGTAGAACAGGAGTAAGAGTAAAAGTAATCAACGGCAGGACTGGGAAGAGGATAATGAGTCAATATATGTAAATGTGTTAAAAAAAAAAAAAGACCTGCAACATGTAAGTGCTCAAAATAATTACCATTAATGTCTCTGCTCTCCCTCCTCCATAGCAATGTCTCTACAAATGCGCTCTGCATTAACTACAGTTGCTCTCTAACGTTCACCTGCACCATGAGACTGAACTCCCAGTAGACGCAGAGTCTTAGGCATCTCTGTGTCTTCAAACACAGTAGAAGGCCTGGCAAAGAATACAAGCTTAATGAATGGATGAAGAGAGGATGGAAGAAGGGAGAAAAGAAGCAAAAAAATGAGACTAAGGGAAAGAAAATGAGATGAAGTGGAAGAAAGAGGAGGCGAGGAGAGAAGGAATGAGAAAGAGAGAGAGGGAAGTCCTTGGAGTCTGGGTCACAGCCACATCTTATGCAGACAGGTGACTCCGTCTCTTTTCCTGCCCTCTCAAACATGAAAGAGGACACTGCTCCTAGAGGCCTTCAGCTGGTTGTTGTCTCACTAGCTGCTCCAGGCAAAGCTAGGACATGAAATTATATCCCCTGCCATTGTGGCTTTCTGCACACAAGTACCCCATTTCTCATCTCCATTCCTTTGTTCTAGATGCTCCTGGCTTCTGAAGTACCTCTCCACATACCTGCATCTTTGGTCTGAAGCTCTAAGACCCAACTCAAGGAGGTCTTTCCCAGGGATGCTGCTCTCGCTTGCTGTCTCAGGACACCCTCCCTTCCTGGGAGCTCTCAGCAAGCTATCTGTCCCTCTCACGTGCCTGTTCCATCAACTGTACTCATGTCTACAGTCCTTTGTCCTGTGCAGTGTGAAGACTTCAGGGACATCTGAGATGTCTACTCCTGTGTCCCTGTGTCCTGCTCAGAGCCTGGCAGGCAGGAGCCTCAGTAAGTGTCCAATGAGTGACACTGTAGCCAATACATCCTTGGTGGAGCAAAAGACCCTATCTCGGCCATCGCGTTTCCCCTCAGGGACATACCTCTGACAATGCTTAGTTTGTGAGGTGAGAGGGGTGGCTTCGGGACTGCATCCTTCTTTTTTTTTGTGGCAACTCCAGTGACACTTCTGTTTTTCAGAACATCTGTTCCCCAAATCATGACTGCCAAGTTCTTCGTGTACTTGGAATCGCCTTGGGTTACTTGCAGCTGGTGCCATTTCTCCTCATCAACCCAAATCCCGCTTCCCAGATGGACCTGAAAGGGGCAAGAACATCACACCTGTTCAGTCTGATAGAAGGGAAGCAGGAAGCTGCTTTTGTCCTTTACAAAGTGTTGCTTTACATCTGTACAAGATTCATACTATAGATCCTAAACGGACTCTCTCTAAGAGTAACTATAATAGTTATCATTTACCGAATACTTGAACAGTGTCAGACCTGACTCTATTGGGCTGTGTTCACTATCTCAAGTCTTCATGGCAACCTTGGAGAGAAGGTTTTATTGTACCGTTTCATTTCAGATGAAAACCCCAGGTTTGGGAAGAGGAAGTTCTTGCCAGAAGTCACTCAACTCCTAAGTGGCAGAACTAAAATTTGAATTTATCCTTCCATTACCAGAGGCTGCTCAGAGTCTGGCCATGTCTCAGGAAACATGCTCCTACCGCCTTTCTATACTACACTCTAGGACAGTGATGTGACCTTTTCAGAGACAAGGGCCCAAACTGCAACCCCAAACCCACTTACTTATCACGAAGTTCCATCACTGCCATTAAACCTGAACATTGAGGTTTTCATTTAGAAAATAAAAACCTCATACATTAGCTTTCTTGGTTTTAAAAGAAAAATAAACAACATGCGTGACACAGGGTCACCACCACTGCTTGAGGAAGATAGGCTCGCTTTAACATGAACATTTGGGGACATACATCCTCCTAATACAATAGAGGCTGCATGCAAGGAAGTGCAGAGATTCCTCCTTTCAGGGTCCTTCTCTTAGATCTTCTGATTTATTTGGTCTGAGTATGGCACAGACACCAGGATAATTTAAAGCTCCCTCAGTACCCCAACTCAGGGTTCAGTTTGCAATCACTGACAGCTGGAGTGAAGAGCAGCTGGCCAGGGGCTGCCTCCAGTAAATGTTGTTGTACAACTCACCCCAGCTCTGAGCTTGTCTCTAATCTGGGAAGTACGAGACTTGGATTTCAGCTCAAACTTCATCCTTCTAACTCAGAACATCTATGAGTTTAACAAATTAAACCCAAACACAATGTACTTGGTTTATTTCTGACAGCACAGAGAACACAAGAAACTCAATCTTATGGCCTTCATTGAGGGAAGCGTCAAAATGTTGCCGTGCAGAGCCAATAAATCACCATATTCTCTGTGCTTCCAGAATTCTCCTCTCTGACTCTCCTAACAACTTGCAAACCATTTACTAACAATCACTGTAAAATACTTTTGTGTTTGCCGTTGCCATAGACATGCTTCTGCTGAGTCTGCACCCAGAGGAGGTGGCTTCCGTGGGACCCAGAGAGGCAGCTGCTCATACGCTGAGCTCCCTAGGAGGCACAAGGATGCTCGAGCGAAGGTGCTTGTTTCCAGGAGGACCTGCAGCCCATTACTACTGCCCAGTTAGGAGCTGCCTCAGGGGAGCAGTGCACACCCAAACAGAGGGCAAACCGGAAGACCACTTGCTCATGATTGAAGAGCTTTCTCCCTCACAGTGGCTTGGAAAGAGAGGTGGGCACAGAGATGGACAGAAGTGCCACCGGCAACACTTCTTCCTTCATTGATTAATGAGGTTTTCCAACTACTGAGAAAAAAAGAAACACAGAATGCTACCCTCCCACCCTTAGTAAGCAAATGATCTTCCCGCCACATCTCACTCCACTTCCTTTTACTCAAAAGATTTAGTAGACCTCTGCAGGTGTCAGATAACCAGATCTATCTGGTCTCTCTGCAGCACATTTCAGGAAGGCAAATCAGTGCATTCAGCTCCAACAGATTTAAGCACCCTGGGCTGTGGGGTGCTATCTAAGGCTGAGGAGGCAACACTGACCCCCCAAGACCAAGCTTCAGCCTTTTTTTTTTGGCAGTTGAGACTTTAAGTGGGGAATGTGCCAACTCAGGCACACTGAGGACAGTTCTGGGTTGCTCCCTGCTGGAGCCTGCATCGCCTCTGTTGATGACACTGAAAACACCCACACAAGCTTCCTGTGATAGGGCAAGAAAAGGACCTTTGAAGTAGACTAAGTTCTGAATTAGGAGACTTTAGACATAGAAGACAAGTCCAGGGTTCCAAACATCTCTGTACTTTTCTATGCCAGGGCCTTCTTTTCCTGTAGCCTTTTAACTTACTCCTCTTAACAGAGAGAAGACATTCATTTTACTCAGTCTTCTAAGAGAGATAGTGGGCACTAATAGTCTTTGAGTAACTGTAATAAACTCAATTCATTTAATCTTCATAATGACCTTTAGAAATAGAAATAGGTAGACAATATTCTTTATTTTACAGGTGTGAACAGAGACCAAGAGGGACTAAATTACTTCTCCCAAGACACAGGATCAGTAAATTCTACACCCGAGATTTAAACCCAAATCTATATGACCCAGACACACTCCCCTGTCACCACCCTTCCCTTCTGTCACCAGTGCCGCAGTCATGCTGATGCAGTTGAAAACCGCAGATCTAACCTATGGATGCTCACTTTTCCTCGGCACCCGTGAGTCACTTGTGCAGCTTGTCACCACCAACAGGGAAAGTGGGGAGAGGCCAGTGACTGGGTGACATCCTTATTTCAGGGCTGCCCCTCCCTCCACGCTGTATGTGCGGATAGTAATTTCCCTCAAACACCACTTTCCTACTTTGCCTAGATGGCTTCAGCAGTCTTGCAACTTTTTAGGTCGCCCCCCTGGAATTTTGAATGGCTCCATTTCTGTCCCATCAGATACTTGCTTCTCACTTGGACTTTTAAGACCTGAGGGAATCTCATTCCATTCTGTCTGCTAACCTTTACTTCCCTGCTGTACCCTTCACTCTAGTTTACCTCTTCCGGCTTGCCATATGCTGTAACAGAATGAGGACTGCTCTAGAGCTGCCAGGCCTGCTTGTGAATCTCTGACCCGCTGGCTGGTTTGCATGGTTAGCCATTCTACTTCTCTGAGCCTTCTTTCCCACTGCATAAGAGGCAGATTGGCACCTAATTTATAGAATCATTCTGAGGATTAAAGGAGGTAAGATAAACATCAGAAGACAAGACACATCCAGTAACTACAACATCCTGGCCTTTTTCCTCTACCTATGTTCTCTGCTCCTGCCATATACTGTCCAGGAATGAATGCTTCCTTTACGTCACAAGCTTTCTAATATTTCTAGCCCTGCCTGAAATCTAGGAAACACCGCTCAAGCACTTCAGGGCTAATTTCTGTTCCTTCCGGAGTTCTAGTCCACTGGTCACTTTCACCACTTCACGCAGTCCTTCATCTCGGAGGGAAGGAGTGGAGGCTTTGCTCTTCTGTCCCCTACGAAGTCATCAGGACTCGTCTGAACACAAAGCAGTAAGCAGTTATTGGCTGCATTAAATATATCTTAATGGTACTGATTTTTAGTTCTGATGAGCTGCTATTCCTTAGAGAAGAAAGTATTTTTTGACATTCACCTAAGAACAGGTTTGATTTTACAGAACAGAAAGAAATGGCCTTGGGTAAGACCTATCATAGGTGTATGCTAAAGCATTTGAAACAAGGATTCTTGAGGTTAGCAAACTCAGGGTTCCCTGGAGCAAGGCGCAGCTTTCAGGGGGCACAGAAGAACAGAGTAGCAAGGGCACTGGCCTGGGAACAAGAAACTGGCTTCCAGGTTCAGTCTCCCTCAAATACATTATATAATTGCAGACAAGTCCTTTCTCAGGATGTGTTTCCTGATCTACACTATGTATAAATTGGACTATTTAAACTTTAATGAACTTTTCAGGTTTATGATTCAACGAGTTTTTGAGATAAAGCATCTTAGACAAAGAAAAGCAATGCACTTCAGTGGAATTAAGAAGTTACTTCTATACCAGCGTTTATTCATGCAAACCACAGCATACTACTGGACCAAAATGTAAGCATTATTTGTCAGGGGAAGTTATTAAAAATATGCCATCTAGTAGGATGGGAATTGATCAGAATATTTCTTTGTGAAATGTTTTATGGAACAAAACTCATTTCCTATTAGGAAATGGAGCTCATTCCAGTGCTCTAGCCCTTGAGAGATTAAGACCTCTGTTCACACAGAGAGAAAGAAAGGTCAGAAAAGACAGCAGAACCAGGAACAATGAGGATCACTTCGGGGACATGGGAAATGCTTCTGAGGGAAGCTGCCGTTTATTTCCAGTGCATCTGCTTTCTTCTATCTCCTTTAATAAATCTCTCTGCCTGACTACACATTACTTGCAAACAAAAACCAGGTTAGTTTTACAGCAACATGCTGATAAAGAAAATACAGTAGGCATTTTCAAGATCTGTGGTTTAATTGGTGTGTAAAGAAATTAAATAAGATTTAAAAGACTCATTCTTGAGGAAGGATTCTACCTTTGCAAAAGGGGCCCCCTACACTGCTCAGAAACCATCCATCAGCCTTTATAACAAGAGAAATACATTTCTCTTGGAAGCTACATTAAGAAAAATCTCTCCAGTGACTCCACAGTGTGGTCATGACTAAAAGGAAATTAACAAAAAGTCCTCTCTTCTATCTTTGGCTGGGGAAGGTTTACGAAACTTAGATATAGAGTCTGAGTTAAAAAGGGGGAGGGTGTGGAGTGTCATTCCCAAGCACTTTTCATAGACAAGGATACTGCCACCCGTAAAGGCCAGGTATCTGCCCATTGCCCCACAGATAGGGCAGACACAGCGCAATGCCGTGCACTCGGGCTCGGGCTGCTCCTTCTCCATGGTTTGCCATATCTCCTCTGCAAAGGTGTTTCTGAAATCGTGTCAGTGTAGGGTCCATCTGTCCTGCCTCATCAGGGGAGGAAGCCCTCAGTGCCAGGTGCAGGGAAGGATAGCCCAGCCAAGAGAGGGAAGACTTAATAAGTTTCACTTCCTTAGCTTGAGAAGGCTTGCTTTGGCTCAGGCTGGCCAGCTGCTGGGGTACATCCGGACAAACACAAATCAAACCACTTTTTCTTTCTCATCAACCCACTAGGGAGCAGCACCAAATAAATGGAGACCCTCTGAAGCATAAAACAAGAAAAATGAACTGACGCAGACAACTCTTTGGGGAGAAGGAGTTGGTGATGTCTATACTATGTGCTGTGGAGGCAGAGAATGTAACGTTAGAGCTGATTTAACAAGAGCTTAGAAAAAGCTCCCAACAGGCTTCTTCAAAAGAGAATTCTTTTGGGTGTGAGGAGGGTGTCAGCAGTTTCCTCCCCTACCCGGTGGTGCTGTCATGTGGCTGACTCTAAGACTTCCAAAGGCTATTCTAGTATTTTTCTTCCTGGATCAACAGAAATGATGTTAATATATATA